AAATATATCAAATTAGTTATATTTAATTATTTACATTTAATGTACTTTTAGTCAGCGGTAGTAAATGAAACGACTGTAAAATAAGTTACGAAATTATGTACGATATAATGTAACTAACAAACGAACCTTTTAGACTTTAGGCTTCGATGTGCAAGAAACGAATAAAATTAAAACAAAAAAAGTCACACATTCATAATTCATTTAAAAACTCATTAGCTAGTTAATCATTTAAAAAAAAATCCATGAGGCTGCCATTAAATCGTGTGTTTTGCTTGCAGAGCCCAGTCCGGCGCATGCCCCGCAGCATCATCCCACGCTGGCGATCAGCCACAGCCAGGGCACCAATACGAGCAGCAGCAGTGGCAGCTTTGAGCGGACGCCAAGTGAAACGGATGCTGCTACAGATCTGCAGACATCGCAGTCGACGGCTGCGATGGGGTCCAAGCGGAATAGAGTGCTCACCAGGCAGCCTCGGGTTAAGCGGGACAGCGATAGCCTAACGTCGACAAATCAGATTTCACCGGATACAGCCGCTACGACACTTGACTTTGATCCGTTTAATGCGGCGGGCACAACCACCGCCATAGCCAGGGACTACTCGACACACCATCACCACCAGCCGCAGCACCATCATCATCACCTGTTGACCGTACCACCTCGAATTGAGCGGCACGCTTCTGAGCCGGCGCCGAGCCTGGCATCGCCGACGCCGCACCTGCTAAGCGTACCGGCCAGCACACCATATCTGATTAAGCAGCATTCGGATCCGCTGTTGCCGCGTCAGCATTCGCTGCATGCCACAGGCACGGGCAGCATTACGGGCAGTAATCCGTTTGCGCCGTTGCATCGTCAATACTCGCATCCGCTGTCTGGAAGTAATGCAAGCTATGTGCCACCTGCTCCACTCCACCATCCACATCATATCTCGCTGCCTGAATCAATTTATGCTTCCGGCTCGCCGCCGCCAGCCGGTTCATCGCAGTACCTGGTACCAGCACGCGTCGTCACTTGTAACGCTTCGTCCAGTGAGACCGCAGCCACGCCCACTACTTCAAGTGGCACGCCCGTTTCGGTGGTAACGTCGCCACCGGCAGGCCTCAACAGCAATAGCAATCGCCAGCCATTTTCACCAACGTATGGCAGCAGCACGGAACAGTCGCCCATTCCGGAACGCCGCTCGCCTCACTCACCCATCACAAATATTGTGGAGCGCAGTAGCGCACGGGTSGAGACAGCAAATGGCAGTGGGAATAAGTTACGCACATCCAAGTCAACTGGCAGCAGCAGCAGTAGCAGCAGCATTCACCTGCATCCCAACCAGACCGCGACGACGAGTAGTTCGTTTGAGCATTTGCCCACGCTACGCGTGAAGAACGAGGAACTGCAGCGCTCGGTGTCATCTCCACAGGTAAGGAGATTAACGTATGCCTGACTTGAAATCATTTTGATATGTAAACTTTATCACTCAGACCCAACGCGAAATAACTACATTGGAAAACCCACGTTCTAGTCATTGTCCCGTCATTCGTCCTGGCCCGGCGCTGGGCTGCAATTTCTGTTGGAATACCATCGATGGACATGGTCGCATTTTGCGCCGCAAAACGAAATACCACTGTCCCGAGTGTCAAACGAATTTATGCATCGTGCCGTGCTTCCAGGAGTACCACGAGCGGCTCAAGAATGAAGCAGCAGCCGCCGAAAGTCAGGCCAACACCAGCAGTAGCAGCAACAGCAAAGGAACAGCCTATGCATCATCAGGCGGCTCAGCTGCTCGGCTCTACACGAAAACCGAATCGATATAAGCCGCACCATGGAATCCCATGCAATGGCTTACATATTTGTATTTGAGACACGACGGGCCATTCCACGAATGGTCGTCGATGTCGAATTTGTTGTTTGTCGTCAGGAAGTGCAGCTGTAGCGCCAATTAAATGGCAAGTCAGCGGCACACTCTTCATCCTGCATCGAAATTTTTTATTTGTCACAGTTCCACTGTCCAAGAAGAATCAAGTACCTGGACGCGGATTGTTCACGCGCATTGAAGCGCAGCAAGATTTGTTTTTGTATCTGCGTCTCCAATTCGGAGGCGCAGTGATGTAGAGTACATACATGTACATGCATACATACATGGATACATACCTACATGCAGGCATGCGAACAAGTCGCCTGTCGCATGTCTGTCAATGCACAAGAAACATTTTTAAAACTAATTGTAAAGCGAGCTATGTAAATGTAAAATTATTGTTATGTACATACATACGACGTGTTTGTATGTAAATTATTGTACAAATTGGAGAAACGAAAATACATATAAATCGAGAAATAAAAAAAAACATCAGCGGTGCACAACTAATCAAGCTCGAATCGACACATTACAGCACATATATATATATATACATATATATAAATCAAAGTCAACTTCTATAGTGAAGTGCAACAAACTTAAAAACTTCCCGCCAAATAAAAAGAAACAAAAACACTAGGATTGAAGGCGTGATGACGCCCCTAACACCTGACGCCTTTAAGGCCAGGCACCGCTGCGCAGGCGCACGATTTTTCACCTGGTAAATTGAACGATTTTTTCACCTGGTAAATTGAACTTTGTGTAAAAAAAAAATATTAAAAACAAAAAAAAATGTCTTTTCAAGAAAATCCATAAATATGCATTCGATATGCGTAAATATAGTCAAGCACATTTGAATGTAAAAAGTATTTTGTGAAAATGCAAATGCGAAAACGAATCGCTAAATCAAATTATATTGTCAACATTTCGCTGCTGTTCAGTTCGACTTATATATTTAGACAATATATAAACAAAAGTACAAAATTAAGTTCGACAGCAATAGCAGGCAACCTATGTCAGCTAAATCAAGTTAAAAATCAATTTTAAACCAATTCAATATAAGAAAACAAAAAGTTCATTCATTTTCGAAAGCGTTATTTCTTGGTGTTGTAATTCGATGAAAATATTTTGTAACCAGCTCATGAGAATTTAAGAAAATCTATTTTTGCACTCCTGATATGTGTGCGTGTAAACTTGTAGATCAATCAAAAATTGTAATTGGCAACTATTTCCAAATGGTAGATGCATAAAAGCGTATTTTATAGAACTTGACCTTATCTATTTTCTTACTACATATTAGAATCGGACTCCCAGAGCCTGAACGCAACGTTAAATCTATGTGACGTACCGTTGATTATCAATAAATCATTGTTTTTAAATTTACAATTTCTACATATCATTTTTATTGATAGTTTTCTATATAATTACCATTTAACAAGGCTCACATCGAATCGCTTACTTCTTAGCACCAGCGGCAGCCTTAGCTGGCTGCACCACCTCGGCTGGTGGGTTTGCCTTACGGAAGTTCGGAAACTGCTCCCATGGTGCCGATAGATCGAACTTTCTGAATTCCTGTGCCAACTCCAAGGGCTCGCAAACAACGCGTTTCTTCTCATCATCATAGCGCAACTCAACATAGCCGGACAATGGGAAGTCGCGACGCTGTGGATGGCCCTCGAATCCGTAATCGGTAAGGATACGACGTAAATCTGGATGATTGGCAAAGAAGACACCATACATGTCCCAAATCTCACGCTCATACCAATTGGCTGCCTTGTGAACTTCACAAGCCGAGTCGAGGGGAGTTAGCTCATCGGTGTAGGTCTTAACCCGAATACGAGCATTATAACGAAGCGACAAAATGTTGTAGACAACTTCGAAGCGATACTTGCGACACGGCACATCCACACCTGCGATGTCCACCAGGTTAGTAAACTGTGCTTGATGATGATCCTTCAGAAACTGTAGTACCGGTACAACACCCTCGGGAGCAATCAGCACCTCCAGTTCATCACCAGAAGTCAATTGCACCTTCTGAACATACTTGGGCATGCATTCGGCAACGTATCGACCAAAATCAGACAGGCTGGAGCGAGCAGCTGCATCCGGTTTGCGTATAGTGGCTACCAAATAGAAGTCAATTTTCCATGAGTAAGGTCTACTTGTTAACCAACCCGAAATACTTACGTTTTTCTGCTGCTTTGGCATCAACTGGCGCAGTACTTTGCATACGGAAGGCAGCTGTTCCAGCGGGTACCACTATGTATCAATATATGAATTAGCGCTAATTGAGTATGATAAGTATTAAACATTTACCATGCTTGGCCGTCAAAGCGGCAGAAGCAATTCTGGCACCCAAATTTCTAATTAATGCGGCCATACGCTCGATTAAATCAAATATTTCAGTGCAAATCCAATAATTCACTGAATATTTGACACTTTATGTAATAACAAAACGTCAAAAAGCCAGTGTTGAGTAAATAATTTTTTGCTAGTGAACTAGATCATCGACACTGCTCAATTTTGTTCCTATATTCTCGTATTGCTGAGATTTCTATGGAACAGAACAATTGTCTGGTTTCACATGCCTAAAATAATATTCAATGTCTTCACTAAAACTAATGACAACTAGCAAAAATTGTGAATATTTTATATTGTACGTAGAAATTACTTGGAGACGAAATAAGCATAAAAGAACAAAATGAGCATTTTGTGTTCAGATCTGAGCTCAATTTAATGAACCACTCAGCGCAAGTTCAGTGCGAACAGTATTGCCAACAAGCGAAAATATTTTGTGAAATAAATTAATTCTTTTATTTGAGGCTTTACAATGATTTATTTGGCTTATAAATAATTGTGTAGATCAAACTCCATATTGTTTTTAGAATTTTCTAATATAACTAAATTTTAAAGTATTTGAAATTGTAGTAGCGTTAATCATGTCTGGCAACTCTATTGCTCTCCATTTTCGTCGCGTTTCGCTTGCAGCTCTGGAATAGAATAGAATCCGATTTTTGGAAAATAAAACACAACAAACGAAAATGGTAATGGTTTTTGGAACAAATGCAAATGCCGACAACTTTGTGCGTTTTGTTTACATTTGAAATTCGATTATCTTTCCACAGAATCACCTGAAATGGATGGGCCACTCGTCCACAATAATGGATATACAGCGCGTTCTGCTACATCAACAAAGCAACAATCAGCAATGCGAAGTATTGCTTGTGGCCAAAGATGGCATCAGCGTACGCGCCCATCTCTTCGTTTTAAGCACTTGCAGCGATTTAATGCGCAATCTGCTTGTCGATTTACCCGCCGGTCAGGAAGCGACTGTCATTTTGCCGGACATCCGTGGGGAGCTGCTCGAGAATGTTCTATCGTTTATTTATATGGGGGAAACTAGTTTGACCTCTGCCCTGCTACCCGAGTTTCTGGGGGCCATAAATTTACTGGGCATCAAGTCTGCCATAAGCTTTGATACCAATCCAACATCCATGACGACCTCAAGTGTTGTAAGTGGCGCTATGGCTGTTGAAGAAGCCAAATCAATAAGCGGCTTACATATTGCAAATACTGCGCTTATGGAGGAGGAGGAAGAAGAGGATGCCGGAGCTGTTGTCGGTAAATTGGAAGTGGATAATGCCGTACTCACAAATCCTCAACAACAACACGAGCAGGAAGGCCGAACCCTGGAATTCCTAGATGTTTACAGCGAACAGCCCAAAATCACATATTCAATAGAACACATGGGCGGCACAACCAGTGGAAATCAGTATATATATACAGAGAACACGGGAACGTATACCATAACACAGTCATCCGTGGGAAAGTTGGGAGTGCAAGGCAGCTCAGCTGTGGTCGACTCAGTGGAGACAGCTGAGCTAGGTGACGAGGATGTCGAGGCTGAGGTCACAGACGAGCACGAAGAATCCGAGTCACAATTAATCGAGGAAGAATATGTTGGATCGGCAGATCCTTTAATAGAGATGAGCGCAGTGGCGGATGTTGATATGCACGAGGATGGAATGCATGACGGAGACGAGGAGGAGGATGATGAGCTATTGGATGTGAAACCTCGTAAATCTCAGCTCGATATGAAAATTTTAAAATTCAAGGCCTGCCAGCGTCCAGCATCATCGAAAGCAATAAAGAAAGCAATGACCAAACAGCATCAGCAGCACGCAGCGCTTAAAAAAGAATGTAAGGAAGATCTCAATGATGCCCTCGACCTCGCAGCGACTGCGGTTCTTCACGAAGGCCTCAGCTTGCAGAAAGCTGCTGATCGCTACGACATATCGAAAACCGTACTGTGGCGACGTGTGCGCTCGAATCCAGCCTACATGAGAATAAAACGAGAGAAACCTTCGCTTTCGGAAGCATATGAACGCCTAAGGAACGGCGACTCATTGAAAAGCATAAGCCAGGATCTGCATATACCCATGTCAACGCTGCATCGGCACAAAGTGCGTCTGGCCGCACAAGGCCGCCTGCCCCACTTTGTTGCTTGCCGGCGGCGTGACAGTACCCCAAAGGATGAGCTGCGTGAGAAACTAGCAAAGGCAGTGCATGCCTGCATCAACGATGGCATGACCCAAAATCATGCAGCCAATCTCTTTGAAATACCTAAGAGCACGCTTTGGCGACACTTGCAACGGCGAACAACCGAGGCAGGGCGTAAAGTCAAGGAGGAGCAGGAAGAAGAGGATGATATGAATTAGAGATCATATATACATAGATACATATATGCGTAAGCATACATACAAACATTCGTACACATGCATACATACACACATGTACATTACACTTAAACACCTTGCGATTGTAGAAATAATGTAGTCCTAAGTTACATCTGTCACTAAATTGTTTATATAATCTATCATATACATTGATGCCTATAGGTTACCTATGGCATACATTATATATTTACATCATAGCTCGCAAATAACTGTTAACCGTTTTTTTCCTTGCAGTCTGTATGTGGGAATAACCGAAACAAGCATGTACACTCGCTCTCTCTCTAAACATCAGACTTCGTTTCTTTTTGTTTTCGGTTTCTGTCGAGTACCGATTCAGTTGAGCAGTTCGTGATACGCTCTTTTATTGAGCATCGCACAAAGAGAGATACGAGTGAAGTTCGCACAGACACTAAAAAAATTAAAAGACCGATTGACAGAAAAAGTCAACGCCAACGGTCCTTTTACTTGTCATCTTTTCGATGCACAGTGGTGGTCCAAACCGGTCTGGGTGCTACGTCACCAACATGACAATACCTTCGAATTTTGAAATATCCTTTTATGGGGGATATTCTGAAATTCCTAAACTATCGAAATGTGGAAAAACAAATTTCCCATTTTTTCAAAATTCCAAACTAGAATACGCCATTAACTTGGAATAAATAAATAATAATGCGATGATGGTTTTACAAAATAAAGTTTTGTAAATAATTTATTTATTCTGAATTGAGCTTAACAAGTAATAACGAGTTTAAGTTGTGCGAACTTATTGAGCTCTGTCGTTCGCTTAAAATATAATGCAAAGCTGAAAATGCTCTTTCAACGGACACTTGAGTAGCCGGTTTAGCCAATACGACATGTGCCAGCTCACTCAGCTGTGGTGACTTTAGTTTTACTTGGCTAAAGAATTCTAATATATCGGCATTTAATGGTAAACGACTATACATCTTGTCGAAATTATCCACTTCAAAATATATTTTTACCAGTTTGTCAGAAATTGGCTCTTCTCTTGATTCTGGAACAGTCTCCACGTCGTCCAAATGAGCTGAGAAAGGCGACTCTCTACTCTGTCCTACATGTTTCAGCTCAAACAGGCGAAAAGCAATTTTTTTCAAATTTTGCGTTGCCAAATATTTTTGGTAGTCTGTTAAACTCCGATTCACTCGTGGATCCATATAAATAGCAGATAATAATGCTTCGTTTTCAAGCAACTTACTTTCTCGAAGTTTAATCTGTGCCAATAATTTTTGTTTAAGAAAATTTTTGCTGTTCTGGCACTGCAGTTTCAGTTCCGTCCATATAATGAAAAATTCGCTGTACACTAAATGTTTCTCCTGAAGCTTTATAGTCGCATCATATGCGTCCTTGAACGCTTCGACATATGTCTCCACCCAGTCCCATTCTATGTCGGTATCGATGCTACACTTTGTGGCCAGGAACTCTTTTAGCTCAATTAGTTTTTTCAACATTAAGTACGTTGAATTCCAACTGGTGACTACATCGAGTGATGGTATATTTTTGTTGTGCTCAATTAATATACGTCTGCCAAGTTACATATTTCTTTTAAGCATGTATAAAAAAATATATTTTTATTTGGACTTTACTTACCTCATAGTTTCTGTACGCAATGTTTTGCATAATTTGCGACAGATACCAATTTGTTGGCTAATTTTGTTTAGCTTATTAACGTCATAGATGCACAGCTGAAGAGTGTGCGCTGCACACCGTACCATATGAATGTTTGCCAAACTCACTTCATCAAGCTTTCCCATCCAATTTTCCGCTTCGGTGTCATCTTCAGAAAAAGGCTCCTCCATGTCGTCATCTAATATTTCTACGGCTTTCACCATGTTTCTCCCATTATCAGAGGTAACGCTGTGTACATATATTCAATTTTCATTAATAACAAACATATTAAAAATAAAGTGAAATTAAATGTTCACCTGAATATTTGATCAACTGTTATGCCATATTCGTCAATGATTTCCAAAATTTTTTCTTTAATATAATCTCCAGTGTGTGTATAGGTAAGCTGGATCATGCCTAACGTCTTCACAACGATTTCTGTCTTACTCATATTACTCCTTATCATTTGCAGATTCACTCCAAGAATCGCTTTATCCATTCTAGTCGCCACGTCAATTTTGAGCGATAACAGCTTTCCCTGGACAAAAGCTCTTATGTCGTTTTTGATGGACTCTTCTCTTTTCGCTACGAGACTCATAATGTTCCTTGATGTTATAGGGCTCATTCCAAGGGCATTATAAATTGGATCAACAATTTCTTTAAATCCCTCGCTGTCCAAGAACGTAAATGGCTTTCCGTCAGTTGTTACAATTTTAATAATTGAATTTACAATACTCTCTTCACTCGTTTCATATGTAATTTTTTTCTTCTTTATTTCTTTACTTTTATTCTCCTCTTCGGTGTCAAACTCACTAATTATTTCACCATGTTTAACATGCAAATGGCGCTTCAAATTTGTTGAGTGATTGCCTGATAATTGCACTCCGCACACCTTACATACTGATTTACGTGTTACTGAATTAAAGTTGAAAAATTGATGCACTTTTTTATTTAGTACACGTCCCATTTTTCTCAATTGCGGCACAACTCACAGAATTGCACATATATACATGCGCAAAAGACTTTGCATCGTTGTTCAGCACCAAACGGTCTGCGAACGAGACGAGCAATAGAGAAGGAAAAAAACGGTCTTCGACTGAGAGCGAGCAAAATTCTTATACGAACAACTCAATCGGTTGCTATGGGACTTTTTGTTCAAAGTCTGAGTGAAAAAATCTTATATTGCGATCGCACGAAACGGTTAACAGTTATTTGCGAGCTCTGATTTACATTCTAGTTTAACCACTAACCAGAGAACACAGTTTATTCCACATGTCTAGTCTATGTGTTCTCTGGTTAGCGGTTTAACCTAATATATTACAATGCAGATAAAAAGCACGACACTCTCCCATCGCTATCGATATTAATACCAGTACTAGTTATCGATATCGAAATGACTGCCGGCTTATTAAACCGATTCGAAAAACTTGCCTACTTTTGTGTTTATATTGCTTATATTGTTATTGGACTATATAAAATCTATGCATTAAGAGATCGTATATTAAGCACGACTGACTTCCAATTCGCAGATGGCTGGAGTCTGCTCAAACGCTCTGACGTGGCCCTCAAGCGCGATGACAGCAATGACGAATTGGAGAACTTTGCTGATTTCATTGCTAAATTTTGGCCCTACTACTTGTTGCATGCGCTTGTGAGTGGCGTCACGCGCTGGAAGTGGAATTACCTGCGCCGATCCGGTCATGTTGCCATCTGCGCTTTGGCATTGGGTCTCAATTTGCATTGGACATCGATAGCTATGTTCGGGTCTCTGCTGATCAGCTATTATCTGATAGCACTGCACGCACGGTCAAAGCTTTGCACTTGGCTGCTCACCGCTGCCTGGATCGGAGCCCTTAACATTGCAAAAAACAGCCAATGGTGGCTGTCTCAAGTTGGATATGCAGAGTATGTCATGCTAATAGTAACCCTCTCCTGGAGTTTGTTACGTGGCTGCAGCTATTCCTTTACTGCGACTGGCTCGAAAAACCTATCTGAGTACCTGGCATACACCATGTACTTTCCCTGCCTCACCTACGGACCGTTCATTAGCTATGAGCGCTTCAAGCAACAACCCATGGGCGAGGCTGTGTCACCGAACTGGAGTTTCCTTGTTGCTCTGCTGCGCGTTGTCTTTTGGTGGCTAGTCTTGCAGTGGTCGCTCCACTATTTCTACATCAACTACATGACGCGAGACGTGCGAGCGGTGGTTATGATGGAGTCGGTGTTTTGGCAGCATGCTGCCGGCTACTTTATGGGCCAGTTCTTCTTCATATTCTACGTGATTACCTATGGTCTGGGCATCGCATTTGCCGAGTACGATGACATTGCGGCTCCAAGGCGACCACGCTGTATCGGACGCATTCATTTCTATTCGGACATGTGGAAGTACTTCGATGAGGGACTGTATGAGTTTCTCTTTAAGCACATATACGCTGAGCTGTGCAGCCGGAAGTCATCTCCAGCAGCCAAGCTTTGCGCCACTGCACTAACATTTTCATTTGTATTCATCTGGCACGGCTGCTACACCTATGTACTTATTTGGAGCATACTTAATTTTGTTTGCCTTGCTGCGGAAAAGCTCTACAAGACATTCGTGTCGAGGCCGGCGTATCAGAATTGGTCACTCAAACACTTCGGCACTGCTGGCGCCCAAAGATTACATGCCATCCTTGCCACCCAGCTTTTTATACCCGCTGCCTTCTCCAATGTCTATTTCATTGCTGGCCAGGAAGTGGGCGGATTTCTAATGCGCGGCGCCTACCTGAGTGGCATAGGTAACTATTTGGCACTGAGTTTTTGCAGCTACTGCTTCTTCCAATGCTCAGAGTTTCTGCTGACCAGGTCCCCCAAGGACAAGAAAATGAAAGCAACTTAGACTTCTGATAGATCACATACAGAAACTCTTTAAGACTGCGCTAAATGTCAACTATTCTATTGTAAATGCCTTAAATATCAAGTAAGCCAATAAAAGTCTGTGAACGTATATATTATAACCAAATATTTTATTAACAGTTAACAGCGTCTTCAGTGCCAGTCCTACCATCTGGTTTGCGTATAGGTCGATTGAAAATTCTCTAACAGCTCGTCCAGCATTTCGTCACAAGTTTGCGTGTGTTGCGTATTGTAGAGACCATCTGGCCAATGTGTTTGGGTTTGTATGTGCGATAGGCCAAGCTCTTCAAACAGCTCATCGCAAGTCTGGGTGTGCATGTGAGCTGAGTTCTGCGGCCCGAACATCGTCTCCTGCTCCTCCTGGTAAGCTGCATAATTATCATTAGGTTGTGTCTCCGTGTCCTGGTCTAGTTCTGTCATTGTCCCTTGGTGTTGTCTGTTGTCGAGCGTTTGGGTTTGAATATCACGAAGCAGTGGACCCAGCACCTCATTGTTCATATCGAGCTCATCAAGATCCACATCTTCCGTTTGTGTTTCCATATCGCGCAAAAGGCGATTGACTTCATCATATGTCAAACTTGGCATTGGCAATCCGTTCTCTGCATTTTCTCTTTCCTTAAGAGCTACATCTATAGCCGTTTGAATCGCCACGTCCATGTCAACGCTATCTTCGGTCTGCGTGGATGTTTGCAGAGCATAGGGAACCTCGACGTCTGGCAGGCAATAGAATGATGGTTGCATAGGTGAATCTACAGTGGGTATGTGCTCCATGTTTGACACATTATTTGGCGGATCATCTGAAGGCGCTTCCTCAGTGTTTGTCGATTGATCTACCATTTTAATTGTGCTCTTTGGCAAATTTTTGCAAGGCTTCAGTTTAGGAATTGCTACCTTAGACAATTCGGCTACATTCTTAGTTATATCGCTCTCACAAGTCACGCTGAGATGATTCTTACGTCGCATATGGGTCTGGAGGCTCGCCTTGCTGGTATAGGTGAGTCCACATATAGGACAAGGATAAGTGGAACAACATTGATGTTTTTCCAAATGCCGCTCCAGTAGAAATGCTTCATTGCAATTATTGCATTTGAAAGTCTTGGTCATATGCGTTTTTTGGTAATGTTGCCGTAGAAATCGGAGATTTGTAAAACCTCTTCCGCCTTTCCGTTCTTCATGATAAATACAATTCGCCACTGGACAATGATATGCCCGATTCGTCGCATCGTTTTTTATGAGTGCCAATTTGTGTCTTCGTCGAAGATGCAGGCTATAATGACTTTGATTACCAAATACTTGATCTGTGCAGTGCTCGCAGCGGTACTCGCGCACCGGTAGCAGCTCTGATATATCCGGTGTGTGCTTAGATGACATAGACCCCACGTAAACATTGACTCTAATCGTATTAAATTTTTGTCAATAACATAAACAAATGACCAGGGCTGTCGCAATCACAAAAATTTAAGAATAGGGATGGTAAATTTAGCTTCAACTAATGTTACCGAGCGCAATCACAAAATAAACGATATTTAAAATAGATTTTTAAATGTATTTATATACAAAATAACTATTATTTTTAAAGGACACTGCATATAGTGCATTTAAACAAAAACTAGGATATTAAAAACATACTCATATCGATGCTATTGCAATTGTTTAACGATAGTTCGATATATCGATCAGTTAGCATTTGGCTTGCATCACTAGTTAGCGTGTTGCCGTTTCGTGTTATTGTGCGAAAGTTTGTTCGGTTCGACGAATTTCTGAGGTAAAACTAAATAGAATTTGCGTTTACTGATTTGTTTATATATATTTATTATAAATGAGGGCAAGTAGGTTCGGTACGAAGGTCGCGAGTGCTCAATAGCTTCCCAACAATTGGTGTATTTGTGTTTATTTGAAGTGCGTATTATATATATACATATATTTTTTTTTCCTTCATTGAATTACGTGGAAATTATTTAAATCCGAAAATTGTGTGTTTGTTGTCTTTTTCGGGACAATTTTAATTAGGCAAATATGAGCAAAAGTTGCAGCTTTACCAATACATGTAATATATGTAAATGTTGTAGATATGTAAATGATTATTTGCTCAGGAAGCAAAAAAAATAGGTGAAATGTAATATAATTTACATTGATTTTAATTGAACATGTTAATTGTATAGACACAGACCACAATATTACATTATATAAAAAAAAAAAACAACATATTTCTAATGTAGTATACACCTGTTTATGTATGTATGAATGTATATACATACATATTGCTAAAAATATGTTTGCTGCACAGCAACAACAGTAGCATAAACACTTTTTCTACTACCACACACGCACATGCATATATATACATATACATGTATTTGTGTACTTTAGCTATATATTCTCCGATTATAGCACGACGACGTCACCTCGTAGGCAGAGCAACAACATCTGTTCAAATCAACTCCCAGAGTTTCAATTGTTTAAAAGATATACAGATATAAAAATATATATATATTTTAAATAGATCTGTGTACGCTATTATTTATACAACTGTATGGACTAAAATCTGAATAAAAAATGTTAGGAATGTTTTATATGATAATTAAAATTCTAAATTAATTCAAAGCTAAAACGAATAGTTAGTAATATTTAATAATATGGAACAACTGCACGCAAACGGTATTCAAATGCCAAGGGGATTAGCAAGGTACGCTGTGCCTGACGCAGTCAACTTTAAAGACTTGCAATAGTTGTCCGCCCAATGACGTCATATGATGAGAAAACAAGTGTTTGTTCAAACTTTTGTTGTGTCTGGCCTCAGTTGTAATTATGACTTAATTTCGAGGCAATAACAAAAGAATAAATAAAYAGGAATCTAGCATAGCTTGACTGAAATTACATACCTACGTCTTTCGCTAATGGAATTAGCAAATTGAAGGCGTTGTCGCAGTTGCTGTGCTACGATATACCCTTTAGGCAGCCAATGGTTAAAGAGATACCGATAGACAGTTGATTGAATTTCCAATCTGTTTGTTCTTATAAGCTCGAAGTCGAATACTTCCGGTTGCGGTTGCTACTCGGCTTCTGCGCCCACTTGCTGGCAGTCACTGCTGTCTCTGTTTGGGTGGGGAAAGCCGCATTCCAACAGTCGAGTTAAGCTCTGTAATGTTGTTGTTGTTGTTGTTGCAACTCTTGTTAACTTCCCATTCGACCAAACACATGACATCGTTGCTTCATAGACGTAATTATCAGAATGATGTACTCAAATATATATACATATATGTATGTATGTGTATCCTCGTGTCTGTCGTTGCTTATCAGCGCAACAAGTTGGCAATTATTGACGAAGCGTCTAATTGATGTAGCCGCATGTCAGTGCAGCAAACAAATTAATGTCGGTATACCCATATATATATATATATATATATATATATGATTGCCCATTGTATGTCGTCAATGGAGATTTAAATTGCAATTGTCACATGAATTGCTGAAGGCTCCATGAGAAGCTCTCAATTAAAACATATCTTTTTATACATGACATGACTTTTTATTCTGTGAGCATCTAAATGATTATATAAAGAATCTCTATATTGTCCAGGGTATATATGTAGTTCCTCTCTAGTCTCTGAGAAAACCATACCCATGCCAATTAATCGCCTGGCCTTGCTCTCTGTTGATATTTCGTTCACTTATTTCGAAATGCGGGCACATAAATTACGTGGACCATGCTCTCTCGATCTCTGGGGCTCTGTACGTGACTCATCAGCATCGGTGTATGCTATTTTTAGCTTTTTTGTCAGTTTAGGGCTATCCTATGTTGCTAATTTTCTATTGTGCATTGTTAATTGTTTATTTGGTATATTTCTTGCAGCTTTTTCAATCACGTGCATTTATAGGAATATTTTGGTAACAACAAGATGAGCAAGTCTACGGGCAATGCGCCGCCGTTCACATACGTTCCACCGCCATCGGCGCCCCCATCCTATCTGGAGGCCGTTGGCGGAGTGAAGCCAGTAGGTCCATACACGCCAGTTTTAGCGCCTGCTACCGCCGGGGGTACAAATATACTGACGACAGTTGTGCCCATTGGACGGACTTCCACACACATGATATGCCCCTCATGCCATGCGGAGATTGAGTCGACAACACGCACAGAGCCGGGCATGATTGCCTATTTGTCTGGTTTTGTAATTGCATTGCTTGGGTAAGAGCGCCAGAGCAATTCTCTCATATTCCCCAGATTTAACTGATGGTAAACCTTTTTTAATTGCAGTTGCTGGCTGGGCTGCTGCTTGATACCTTGTTGCATTGATGACTGCATGGACGTTCACCACACGTGCCCCAACTGCAAGGCATATTTGGGACGTTATCGGCGATAAATTTCTGCAACTTCTACTGCTGCTTTGCACACAAACACACTCCCACAAACTCACAGACAGCTATACATATGGAACGAGGAGAGAGATGGAGAGTTAAATTGAAGCGATGTTCTGCCTTTTTCATTAAATTGTTATAATAACACCTGGATTCCATGGCCAAAGGGAATGCAAGCGCTTATCTCTAATCTAATGCTAATCCTTGCTAAATTGCTCATGCTCTATGCACTTAATTGGTAGTTCGAAATTACATTTAGTTTGCCAAAAATATTTTTATAAAAATATTTTAGTTATTTAAATTTTAAATATTCGGAAAACATGTAACTCTCTTTGGAAGCTTTCGAATAGTGTATTTTAATATTTATGTAAATATTACACCCAATTGTCCAAACACTTGGTTATGCGATACCATTTGTCCTGTAATAACATCCTAATGTCATGTTCTATTTGTTTTGAGAAGTGACGTAATGATTAAATGAATTTTAAATGGATTGATTTTCTAATGCTGCAAACACACAAAATAATTTAAATCACAAAAAGACAGCATCTACAAATATTTTTGTAATTTACCTGCGAAATTGTCTTCAAATGCGATATACTTAAGGCATATTTGTTTATAAACTGATCAATAACATCCATGTCAAACTTCTTTATAATAAAATCTAAAAATTAAACAAATAAATACAGTTCTTGTTTTTGGTTTGGCTATAACTTCCCTTGGATTCGGTATGTGAATTTTGATAGACTTAAGCTGCCCAATAAAAACTTCAGATATTTTCATGTTTACTATTTATAAATTGTTTTCTTTGTATACTTGTAGTTCATTAGTTTCGCATAACATACTCTTTTGCTTTTGTTTTTTAATTGTTTTTTTCTTTTAACATGTCAAACTCTTTACCTCGATTTATAAGTTTAGATAACATTGTACACCACGCACATACTCTTAACTTGATTTACATAGTAAGTATAATATATGATGTAAATAAACACTTATTCGTCACACTTTTCTTTGTCTCGCATGCATTTAACAAATCTTGTGGTGTACTCTCTTTTTAGTTTATTATTAATTTTATACATATATATATCTCTATGTATATGTGTTTTAACATGATTTACATACAAATATATTGCATGGAATATTCCGTTTTAAATTTGTTTTGTTGCTATTACAGAAAAATCGTAATAAACTTTGAAGAACGGAAAACACGCTCGTCGTTTGCCCTTTGTAAAAACTTAAATATACAAAAATTATATACTCTACTAACTAACCATATATACAACATATATTCATATATATCTATATATGCCTTAATATATGTATATACTTTTGCCTTACATGAATGCCTGTGTATGTGTGTATGTGTATAAACAGTTTCATTTCATAATATAGTGTGGATTTATTCGTTCATTTGTAATGCATTTGAATTGTTAACATTGTTCACCACGTTTTGTTTTTGTTTTTGTTTTTCCTTTTGCTTTTCTTTTAATTTGTATATGTATCTGTATCTGTATTGTTTGCTTTAATTGCTATCTTCTTTAGCTTGTATATATATTTTATTTATATTTATGAATGCGTAACGCCTTAAGGTAATATTTTAGTTGCTTCTTGATAGGTTGATATCTTAAGTGTCCGCTCATTGATTGAACTAAAACTAAATGTTTAAAAAAAGCAAACGTTACCAGATCAAGTATTAGGCTTTATAATACTCTCTCTCCTGCTGCTGGATCGCTTAATTAAAATAAACTGAAGCACATTGGATAAAACTTGGCTATTTACAGGGTATACGCGAGTAATGACAGTAAATACTGTAATTTAGACTATGGGCGCCCCATTGGAATTTGAAGTTGATTTGGCCGTCTTCACCAAGCACGACTGCGAGTTGTTGCCCATGCTGGACCCGTCCAGGCTGTCCAGATCGAGTGCCGTATCAATCATGGTCGTGTCGTGCAGCATGCGCAGCCGATCAGCCGACTTGACCTGCTCGGCGCCATCGCCTCCAGCCTTGCGGTGGCCATGCCCATGCCCATGGCTGTGCACGCCACCGCCGCTGCCGCCGCCCACAAACGAGGCACTCACTGGATCGTCCAGGTCGAGATCGTCGCTGAGCAGCGTCGATGACAGCACCGTGGACGCCTGTATCCGCTCGTTGTGCTGGCGCTGTTGCTGAGCCTGCTCGTCAATGATGTTCGAATAAACGTGCAGGGCGGCATCTGTGGACGGTGACACGGCCACTTGGGGCACATTACTGTACATGTTCTCCGTCTGTGAGACGGACTTGGCCAGGGCATGCTGTTCGCCGTTGATGGCAGCTGCCAGGAGAGCAGCGCCCGAAGAGGGCTTATGGTTTTCGCCCAGTCCCGGTGAGCTGACCAGCCCTGCATCAAAGTCCACGTCAAACAGATTGCTGTAGCTGCCGCTGCGGTTGCGGTTGCGCATCTCACGCGCCTTACTGGAAGCCGCAATGGCGGCCACCGCGGCGACTACCTCTGTGCCGCCTACAACAACAACATCCGCATTGTCCAGCTCATCCTCACTGCCGGCCGCGGCCAATTGATTCTCATAGGCCAAATCTTCGACTGCCGAGGCGCCGTTGGACAGCTGTCGCTGCTTGTGGTGCCGGAATTGACGCGTCTGTGTGGCCGTCGGCTGTGTGTACGCTGGCATGTCCATCTGGGCCAAAGGGATCTCGTTGTCAACGAGCTGGGCTAGACTATTGGAATTACCTGCGAACGAGATGTTCAACGATTAGTCCCAAATTATACCTGGATTGCGTTTTATGTATCTATATATATATATATGCATATATAAATACATATACATATATATATACACATATGAAAATGCATACATAATTAATGTGAAACATTTAAAATGTTAAAACTCTCATTACAACAAATTTGACAACTAATTAAAAATTCGTATTTTAATTTTCAAAATAGTTTTTTTCGCTAGTGTTCACTGCTCGTGTGGTTGGTGGTTTTACTCTTATTTTTTGTTGTTGTTGGTGGTTTCGCTGCTGGTTTAACAAACTATTCAAATATGCAAACAATTGAAAAATGCTGAAAAAGGCGGCAAATTAAAATTTAAATAGATAGTAAAATGTAGCCAATGCACAAAACAACTCAAACAAATAAAGTTATACATGGGATTCGAGCCGATGAGCCTGTCGATGCGGCATCCTTTGCTGGCCAGTTTGGTGGGCGTAAACATAATTAAAAATATATAATTCAATTTGATAATCGCTTAAATCAATAAATGGCCAATGGCAATGAATAATAAATAGATTCATGAGCTATGATTTGTGTCATTTTATATAAGTAGAGAGAGAACGCCTAATGAATGTGTTCAATGCGGTGCCAATTGAAACAATTCAAAGCATGCTCCAACAATTTTACGTATTTTTAATGAAATATTCAAATATGCCAATGCTTAAATTATAACACAAATTTAATTGCTAAAGAATGTACAACGATAAAACGTCGGGTATCGAGGTCTGTTTAGAGTGTGATATGGAAATATATATGTTATGGGGTTTGTATATTTCTGTATTTATTTAAGCAAATCATAAGCAATTCGTGTGAATTGTGTTCACATTATTTTTATATTTATAGAAAATAACATATACAAGGCTAAGCAACAAAAGACAGCTTTAAAATGATATTGTACAGGGTATTTGAACGCTTGTATCTTTAGCTAATCGCGCTATACAAAATGAAAAAAGCAAAGTACACAGATATCGGATTAGATTGGTATACAAATATATAGCACAATCTTTGCTTTTGAAAGAAGCATTTAAAGCGTTGTTGAATTTACTCGAATTTAATACTTGTGTTTTTTTTCTATATTACTTTTACCATTACATAAGTTGAACAACAGAAAAGGGAATTATTACTTTCGTGTTGTGGAGGCAACTCACCCAATTGAGGCATTTAGCATGAGGCATTTATGTTTTACTCTAGTTTTAAGCGGCCCTCGAAAGCTTTCCCTCAATTTCATATAGTTTTTAGTTGCAATTTTGATTGGTTAGCAATTTGTTTGTTTTGTTATTATTTTATTTTCGAGTTGATCAATAACAAGACATAAAAAGTTTTATGTTCGATTTTTTTTGTTAGTTTCCATAGTCACAAGTTGTATTGAAAGACATAAAAAAGAGTTTGGCATTAGTGTACAGGGGTTGTGTATATATGTGCATAAATAACCAAGAGAAAAATCATCATGATAGTATTAACTTGTAGTTGCTGTTGTTGTTGCCTGTTATTATTATTGCTATTATTATATTTGTTTGCTTTGAATACTCGGATAGAGGAGTGAGTGGTTGGTTGGTGCGTCTGCTTGTGTGGCGCGCCTGCAATTTGAATTCATGCGAAATGATATCACGCTTAATGGAAACTCAAATATGGCGGCGATTGGCAGCGAAGTGGGGGGCTAAGAAGAAGCGCGCAAACCTTAACAAAATGGCGTCCACTCTGATTGGTCGCTGCACATTGCAGTACAGCTGCCAGTGTGTGTGTGTTGTGTGTATATATGAGTATATGTGTACGTGTGTGTGTGCATACCTGATCCTCACTTCAGCAATATGCTTCTCGTATAAAAGTCTTACTTCTCTTCCATGGGAAGCAATTCGCCGCGGCAATAGGAAGGCATTTCGCCAGTCGAAAACGTTTTGCGGCGAAACACAGGCGTTTTCTTATTGGTCAATTTCTAAACGCTCGCAAATTTAATGATATTCAATTTCTGATTTCGCTTGAGCACATTTAATGCTTCATTTTTGGTCTGTAGCATTTCGCACTGAAGTGAGTTTGGCCAGAACGCACACAAAGTTTATCTTGCCGTTAAGTGTATACATAAATAGTAGCTGTGTGTGTATGTGTATGTGTGAGTTTGTTTGTTCTGTAATTCCTTAACATTTCAATTGTTTTCATAAATACGCTAGAGTACATTTTATTGCCCAACATTTAAGTATAATTTTATAAATATGTATGTGTGTGTGTGTGTGTGTATGTGTGTGTGTGTGTGTATTAGCTGCTTATTATAACATACATAAGCATCATACATTCATATATATATATATATTCAACACGCGTGTTTTGAACATCTTCAACATACGTATGTATACAATTTTATTAACTCTTCCATTGCTAAAAGGAACTCATTTATGTATATATAATATATATATAATATTGTTAATGCGTAACATTAATAGCCTTTAAGACTGGGCACGAGCTGCTAGTGCGCCGTCCGTTTTACAGTAAGCTGACTTATTGTTCTATTGAATTTGTCACTTAAATAACTAAGCTCTCCGCTGGCCATACGCATGCTATGTTATGTCTCAACTATGGCCAGGATACGCTCTCTCCCCTTCGCCCACTCATCGTCGTTCTCTGTTAACATTTACAACTATGTGTTTATGTATAAATATTTGTCTCTCAGTTGTTTAAACATATGTGTTTTTTAAATATTATTTTTAATGACATATTCGCAGTCACTTGGCAATCTGTTTACACTAATATTTATCCAATAATCCGCATGCATTTTGCACTAATAATGCATCAGTAAGTTAGTTTCGACTAGAGTTGTTTTAAAAATTACAGATCTATTAAAATTTGTTATACAACACTACACGTATCAAATTCTCGTTGAATTTTTAAAGATTTGTTTAGTTAATATTCGTTGTAAAAACAAAATGTGGTTTCTTCTCTTTTGTTCTCAATAAATGGCAGTTGTTTGGCTATTTTTATAAATTGTTTGCTAACGGTTTTTGTTTCATTTTGTTGTTTGCGTTTCGTATTTGAGTTCATTCAATTGAAACCTCACAAATTAAATTTCAACTAAATTGCACAAGTGACTGCCCACAATTCAAGGGCTTTTCATTTAAGTACATTTCTATATAATGTATGTATATCGTTTTTAAGAAATTAAAATCTCAATCGACTACTACGAATCGAGTCTCAACATGCAAGTGCCATCAAAATGCATTGCTCTTATAAAGTTTTTCGTTTCGGTTTTCGATTTATTTTTATTTTTTTTTTGGTTGAATTTATTTACTATTGGAGGTGGCGGCGTCGGGATATGGACTTTCAACATTTAAGTGTGTGTTAGGTGTGTTAATTGCTGCGACAACTGAAAATATATGGCCACACTGACCGCTCCGCCGCTGGATCAGATGCGGTGCGGCAACGTGGCTCGCCTATGATATATAGGTGCTACATAAACGCAAAAGTTTGTATGAACCAAGTTTTCATTTTCTCTATTTTGTTGTTGTTGTTGTCCAGGCTTAGATCTGGGTCGGGTTCTACGAGTTATTACAACGGAGGGTTGGGTTCTGGGATTTAGTGTTGGTTGCTGGGTGTCCAAAATTTCCATAAAACAGAAATAAAATCATAAACGCGACAACCGAGCTGCAACTAGGCGTGCAAAATCCAAAAAAAAAAAAAAAAAAAAAAAAAATTAAATTAAATAAAAAATAAAGGCAATGCCAACTAGAGCTACGGAAATCAATTCAATCATCTACCCTAAAAAGCGCGTCACGGAAGCCAATTGTGAAATTACCAAAGCCAGTGTTGGGTAATAACCAAAGATTTATGCACATATATGCATACAGTACGTATATGTATGTCATCAGACTATATATTTTTTTTTTATCAATTTATCAATTTCAAAAAGTTATGCTTTATATTATTAAATTTTGCGTTTTTTTTTTCATTTTTTTCTTTTTGGTTTTTTTTTGTTTTATTTTTTTTTTTGTAATGATTTCTTTTGCAAAAAATTCCGTTCTGTTAGGGCCTAACTATTTGCTCGCACAGCATACCTAGCCCGAGCCTGGCAGCAGTAGGAATCGGAGGCAGACTGCCAAGAGCCCAGCACGGGGCAATCCCTTAGAGCGTACAGCGTTTAACAACCAATCAATGTAGTCAGTGGCAACTGCGACCAGGTGGCGGTCACAGTCGACGGCAGTGTTTGCTTGGGAGCTGCGAGCTGCGTACTAGGACGAGTCGCTGCCCGCGGCATCCTCGATAATCGAATTGAGATCGATGTTGAACGAATACTCGTACAGGTTCGAGTAACGATCGCGCTCCTTCCATGGCGATCGGTGATTCATATAAAGATTTCGTTTACTAACACGAAAGATCTGGCTATCCTTGATCGACTGATCGTCGTCGCAGGGTTCGCCGCCACCGCCAAAGTCGCACTCTCGAATGGTCAGCCGATTGGTCGGTGACTTCAGCTCGAACATCACCTCCTGATGCTTGTAGCGCGGACGCATCGGCAGCGGATGATAGCCGGCAATGTTGACCTTCTGCGAGTCCACCGACTGCGTCGATTGCCGGCGCATACTGCGCGCCGCCTTCGGAAACGGATAGTTGCTGACGCGCTGCGGGGAATAGTACTTGAAGTCGCTGGGCGCCGGCGGCTGTGGCGCCGCAGTGTGTATTGTGGTCACCGTGCTGTTGCTGGCCGAGATCGCAGCGCTGCCCTGCAGCTTCAGCGTCGAGGGTCGTCGTGGCGCCAGCGCCGGCGCCGTTGCCATCGATGCCGAGGTGGGCGCTGTCGTCGCCGACGATGAGGAGCCACCGCCACCGCTCGCTGCCGCCGCCGACACGCTGCCAATGGCGGTTGTCTGCTGGGCGTGCACGTGATGGTGGAGCAGCGGCAGCGGCGAGTTGCGTGCATCGTATGATGGGGTCAGCGGCAGGTGCAGCGAGCGCTTTAAGTTCAGCCGATAGGAGGAAGTCGCAGGCGAGCGCTGCAGCGAGGACGGCGTGGCCAGCCCACTGGCGAGAGCCTCCTGCTGCAGATGCAGCTGCAGCTCTGCAGCCAACAGCTGTTGCTTCTGATGCGGTTGTGTTTGTGTTTGTTGTTGTTGWTGTTGGTGTGACTGGTGTTTGAGTTGTTTGTGTTTGTTGGCTTTGAACTGATGCTGTGCGCTAGCTGGCAGCAGCGTTTGCAGCGAGCAGCGTTGACTCTGCTGCCGACGCGACTTGGACTTACCGTTTTGCAGCATGTCGTAGCTGGGCGGACGATCGAAGCCATTCCCAAGGCCATGTCCATGGCCGTTGACAACGCCACCAGATGCGGCGGCCACCCCGTTGCTCTCCAAAGTCGAGGAAGAGGGATTTGACTGATTGTTGGCGGTGTGAATATGTGAAGTGTGGTTGATTGTTGATTGTAGTAGTAGTAATAGTTGTTGTTGTTGTTGTATATATATATGGTTGTTCGTGTTTATATATATGCAAATATATATTTAACGAGTTGTTACCAAAATCAATATTGACCAAAAACCAAAAAATAAAAGAGGTAGAAAAAAAACAGAGCGTCAAATATGAGGTGCATAGAAGTCCATTATATGAGAGAGAGAGAGAGAGATAGATAGATATAGAGGAGGAGATTGAGATTTGATAAGCAAGCACAGGTGCCGAGACATTTAGATTTCGATTAGGATGGAGTTGGATGGACGTGCTCGAATTGGAATGCTGCATTTACGGCTTACCTCGTCATAGAAGCGCGGCTTCAGCTCAGCGCCGGCACCACCAATGCTTACACCGCCACCAGCACCACCAATGCCACTCATGCTGCCGAGCATGGGCTGCGCTGTGGTTACCATTTGGGAGGCGCTGATCACATCGCTCAGGGCATGCCGCGGACTGGAATGATGCATCTGCTGTATGTACTCATCCGTAGCTATGCCGCGCCTGTTAAAGTGTGAGTGTGAGTGAGTGAGTGTGTGTGTGTGTGTTGCGGAGACAAATTGTTCAGTTTAACAAATGATGCAATTCATGGCAGGCAGCATAACATTAATTTACCTGTCAATCAGCGAGGGTGTCATGGGACCGCACAGGATGTGGCAGCAGTTCAGGCAAATATTGCCGCGTGAATAGGGATTCTGAGTGCGCGGCCCGCCCTTCGACGAGAACGAGCCTTTGAGCTGTGAGCAAGTAAAGATGTATGAGATTGCATTTAAGAGATTTAAGAGACGGCAGCACAGCTATTCGGGGCACTTACATCCTCGTTCGTTGTCTGATCGCTGGTGGTCAGATATGTGTGAAAGCCAGCCAGTCCAATCACCGACCAAATGGAGAAGAAACAAATGAACACAACAATCACAGTGAAGGGCGCCTTCTTTATTACTTTGAAGACCTCCTGTTCCGTTTTCATCACTGTCCAAATCGTATATATCAACATTGAATTGATTAATTTATGCTGGCCTTATCTGAGCGAACAGCTTGATTTGATTTACTCACATAAAACTAAATGCGTCACAGAGCACGAGAATATAAATACGGCTAAAAATGCCAGTGAGACTAGAAACAAATAAAAGAACCGATAATTTCGCTTGCCCACGCAGTTGCCCACCTGGAAAGAGAGACAAATTCTTTATTGGAAAATTTCGCATCGCACAAAGCCTGCATAATGGCCTGAACCCCGTCCACACAATAAGGTTAATTGCCCTTTCATCGGCCCCACGCCCCCCGTTCGCAATATAATTGGCGCCAAAATGAAATTACGCGTTCCGTACAACGACGAGAAATGCCTCAATTTTAATTCTCTCTTCGTTCTTTTTTTTTTCTTTTTTAGTTAGACCACCCGCTGCTTTAAGGCCCGAAATGGCACGAGGCGGCGCGCGGCGACCTTCAGCGCTGACAGCAGTGCCAACAGCTCATAATCAAGCCGGCTGGCTGTGCGGCCTGGAGTGGTGCGACGCGGTGGCTTAGCAGGGCTGGGTGGTGGTGCTTCGGGTCGTCCGAACGAACGCAACGCTCAGCAAATGAAAAATTCAGAGCCCAATCTACGGCGTCATGTGGGTGGCGCCAGCTTAAGGTAGCTACAACGCTTTGACACGGTCAGAGCATACCCTGTAATTGGTGAATCACTAGTGAGAGCAGAGCTTTATAACAGAGAATCTGAATTTTGTATGCAGCCTTAGCAATCGGCGCTATCCTCTTAGTCTGGCACTCTTAACATCCCAGTCGCGGCTAACTAGTGAAGAGACTAACTAAGCAGCTGCTTAAATAGATATCGAGATAAGCCTCAACTACTATTTATTCGAGAGGGTATAAGAATAACAATGCCAATGTTGCCTGAAAAAGCGCGTTGCACTTAATGCAACATGCCCCTAACACACACACACACACAGACACACAGCGAGAGACTCACAAGCTAGAAAATCAGAGTGCGGCTACTTAAGTATGCGTATAAAAGTCTATGTATGTCTCTCTCTCTCTCTCTCTCTCTCTCTCTCTCTCTCTCTCTCTGTGTGCTTTGTGTGCAGCGGTTTGTTTGTTCGCTCCACCACCCGCCACATCTTGTTGCATCTTTGAGGCGCTCGCGGGGAATTCGCATTTTGTGCTGCCTGCGCGACAGCAGAAAAAAACTCAAATTGGGTAGTACTCGACGGGGTGACTGTGTGTATCTATATATATTAGTGTGTGTGTGTGTGTGTGTGTGATTATTTTTTGCTGGCAAAGCTCTGCGGTCGACCAGCAGCAGGCAGCAGCATTGCAGTCAGAACATGAGCTGCACAAATTATTTTCTCAACTAGCTCAGCAGTTGGGCGCAGGAATTGGGTTAAAGTCAGTGAAAGTTGTTTTCGATGGCCCACATTTGCAATGTCAGAGGGCCACAGGGACTCGCACTTACCCAGGGACAGTGGTGATCGAAGCGATCCACGCAGTTGTCGCACAGGCTGCAGTGCGAGGCGCGCGGCGGCCTGAAGATCTTGCAGGTGAAGCAGTATTTCAGTTTGACCGTCTGGCCCTTGACGAGCACCTCCTTGGTGCGGGGCGGCGGCCGGTATGTGGGGCTGTTCAGCGAGTTTGGCACTTCTGCGCAGGCGGCATGGCGGCAGCGGAACGGAACCGGATGTGCGCGTCGGCGTCGGCGTCGTCGTTAGCGTTRGCGTTGGCGTCGGAAATGCAGCATCAGCAGCGACAGCGACAAAGTCGTTGTTGACATGCAAGTAAAAGGGAGAGAAAGAGCAAAAGTTTTCTCATTTTAAATATTTTCCAACAGCAACAGCAGCAGCAGCAACAACAACAACTCATTAGGGTAAAGGCAGCACAGCTTTTGCCTTTGATGATTTTCATACATATTTTCTTCTGCTTTTTTTTCGCAGCTCTCTATGCCAGGACACGCTCATTACTTTTTATGTGGGGCTACACATACACACACACACACACACACACACACCAGCATACACATACACTCGCCAACTTAATGAAGTGAAAACAAATATATACAAATGCATAAATGCACATGTGTGTGTGCGTGTGTGTGTGTGTTTGTCTGTGGGCGTGGCAGTCATGAGCCATTCAACAGGCAAAACGACCTTGTCCACATTCGCCTCTTTGACTTTTTGACTGACATAAACTGGAAAGAGGGAATAAATGGGGGAGGTAGGAACGGGGGAGGGGAAGGGGATATACTCACCAATTTGCTTTTCAATATAGGCGGCCTCATCATTGGAGGCACGCGGTATAACGCCTGGATCTGTGAAGGTTGTGCGCAGCAGCGAGCTCATCGTAAAGAAATATAAGACGGCGCCCACAATGGGTATAACTGGATTGATGGTTGTCGCCAGGAAGGGGCAGCTACAAGAGAAAGAAGAAGATATATAAATGAGAGAATTAAGTATATATTTGCGTGTTGCATCAAAAGGAAAGAGAAAATTGCCAACCAAAAGTCTGATTACAGCTCAGATCCGCTCAACAAAGGTTTATATCATAAGGCATCAAAGCATTGAGGCTCTCGCTGCTTGAGTATCTGAGACTGGGCGAGTTAATATAAGCTTTGATGAACTCAGCTTACATTTCTGCAACTCTCTGCTATCCTACAGAGACTCTGCTTTAAGCATCTGCGGAGAGTGAGGTCAGCYCAGCCCAGCCCAGACCAACTCAAAGATGCATGCAAATAGCTCCAGAGGGTTTTTGGCAATGCCCCAAATGCCGCTCGCCCGCACAAATATGCAACAAGGGAATTTTATTGAGCGCCGTCCAGGCGCCAGAAATAAGGCAACTGTGGCACGAAGCATGTGTAACCCAGCGGGAATTGTTGTGGAACGCTTAGCGACAATGATGCTGTTGCCCAGCATTGTTACATTATGCCGTCCGTGCGTGCTACCGATTTGTGAATAGCGGTACACCCACCTACCCACACACACACACTTGCACCCGCTTGCTGACAGCGCCCCAAGAGATGCGAGCATAATGAAAATAATGTGTGACAAGCCCCAGAGCTCAGCTTTGAATTGCAGCTGCATTTTGGGGCCAGTCGAATGTGGGACCGTCAGCAAAACTAACCGAAAATAGTTAAATACATTTGTCATGACAATGGCTAACAGAGCCGTCCCGCCACACACCTTCCGTAAGTAAACGCACACACACACACACCCATGCACACAGCGGGAAAGCATTCAGAAAATGTTTTTCCTCGCATTCAGCTGGCAAATCGCTGACAATGGCACATAAAAAAGGAAGCCACCATCGCATTCTGTGTGTGTGTGTGTGTGTGCCACCTTTTAGCGATTTGCATTGCGAGCGCGTTGAACGGAATACAATTTGGCCATAGCCCACGGGCAGATGCAAGCGCACCTGGCAGGCAGGAGGCAAGCAGGAGGCAGGCTGGCAGGCTGGCAGGTAACTGTAATAGGAGCAGACACTGCCACAGCAATGGCAACTCCAACTGCAACAACCAACAGCACTTAAAAGCATAGAAGATATTGTAATGCCCATAGGTTGCCACCGCCGTTGCCAGCTCGACTGTGCGCTAATATAAGGCATGCAATGAAAATCTCGAAAAAAAAAAAAACACACACACACACGCAAGTGAAAGAGATACAGCTGCAGCATGTCGAAGATGAAATGCTCTCACACCGATGCTGCTAGATGTTGAATATATTGATTTCCAAATAAAATCAGTCTCCGGTTCCATAGAGATAAAGCTAAGACCACGTCAACTTGTCCCTTGATCTCATTTCTGACTTTACTCTTACAAGTTTCCTGAATATTTGTACTCTACTGCAAGCAAAGGGTATTCAAACGTGCAGTGCATGCCACGTCGCGACGTTGCAGCTTCCGTTCTTGGCTTTTCGGCAGCGCATAAATTTGGATTGTAAGTCTAAGGCGGCAACAGCAACAATAAAAAAAAACCCCGAGTACTCCAATTCTATTTCTTTATGTTCGCTATTTGAGCGTGTGTGTGTGTGTGTGTGTGTGTGTATGTGAGTATTTACACCTACACATATGCAATTTCCTTGGCGCTATTGAAACGAATTCGTGCAGAAAATGTTGAGCATAATTTTTTCTAATCGTGCACTGTTGGAAATCGCATCATTATGTACCTTTCCCACATGTGAACAAAAACCAACAGCACGCTGCATTACCTACACCCCCCTCTCCTCTCTCCATTCTCTCGACTCTCTACTCCCTGCTCACGCCCTGCCAATACGGGATTTTATGTGTATTTGTGCTACGTGACGTATACATTATTTGCTAGGCTACCACAGTGTAGGCATTGCGTATACGCCACGTCTACAACTAAATGCATACCTCCATATACCTCTATGCATGCATGTGTGGAGCGAAGCTGAACGCATGCAGCACCTATAGCAATCTATTTATTTAACAACGCATGTTTATTTAACAACTCGAACTAACACTGCAATTGCAAGTGCTAACCAAAGCAGAGCTGATTAAAAGCTTTGATTTCCTCCCCTCAGAGAGTTGAGAGCGTTTTAAGATGCACTCAACTCAAATTTAATTAATTGTTGCATCGATAATCCAATTATATTTTGGCGCTTATGGCACGCTTTTTGCTTTCCAATTACCATGTTGCTCAAAACGAATCGAATAACTTCGCTCCTAATCGGATTAGATCTGCGAGCAGTTGATTCATTTGACCCTTAACCTAGAGATTTCCAGTTTAATTTTTCGTTCTCCTTTTCAATGTCGTTGGAATGACGAATCAAAACAAAGCTACATTTATTTCAAAATCTGTGGACGAGCAATAGATGGACCGCAAAGGAATCAAAACCGAAAAGCATGCAAACTTTAATCCCTTTGCTCAAGCTACGACGAATATCCTTTGCCCGACCAAGCATAACGCATACGCTACGTTGCACAGCAATAATTACATGCCATTGGATACGTCCAAGGCGCACTACAGACAGCAGTCAGTGACCATTAATGTGGGCGTAATTGGAAACCAAGCAGACCAGAGAGCATCAGCACACACACCCATACACACACACACACACACAGCCAGGGTCAGGGCTGGCTCTATGGCATGGCTGGGCATCCTGGCGATGCTTAATTAGCAACGTATTCATTTTGCAAACAATGCAACCACAGTCGGTTGCAAATGAGAAGCGGACAGACGGAAAGACGGACGGACACCGGCCACTGGCCACCGGCAACTGGCAAGGGGCAATGGGCAATGGGCAATGGGTAACTGGTAACTGAAACACGCAATTCGTTGTGGACAGTCTGAATATACATGCATCGGATACTCACTCGAAGGCAAAGAAGAGGGCACTGGTGCCAGTAATCAGGATGCACGTCAAGTAAAAGACACCCGTGTGCGGTGCGGACATTAGCAATCCATCGCAGTAGAATTTATTGCGTCCGGCAAACAGTTCCCATTTGCGTGTGACGCGCTGGTTTGGTGCCATGTTACTGCAACAACAACAGCAGAGCAGATTCATCGGATCGCTGCTGGTTACGAGTTTGGATTAGGAGTGGGGAATGATTTCGGCTGCTTGTGGGTGGCTCCAATGGGTTATCTTTCGAGTTGCAGTAACAAGAGGAGATTGCTATTGCCGTTGCCGCTGCTGATGCTGCTTCTTCTTATGCAGCTGTTGGTGCTGCTAATGTGGGCCAACGTTGTCCGGGGTTCGTGCGGTTTGGTGGTGGTGATGAAGCCAATTCGTTGCGAGCCTGCCCAGTTGCGTTAATGGACAAACGCTGACACTTTAGAAACTGCTGTTGCTGCTGCTCTCGTTGCTATAGTTGACGAATCGAAATTGTGACCGGTGCCTCCTCGCCTGCTTTTGCTCGTCGTGTCACAGCGGCGTGCTCATGTGTAGCTGTTGATGGGCGGCAATGGCGGCAATGGCGGCAAACTTCTTCCAGGGCCTGAGTCATGCAAATTTCCCAGTTGGCTCTGTTGCCACGCCCAATAGTTGCAAGTGCGCCCCGTTGGCGATTAATTCATGCGTTAAATTCAACAGCAGAGTTTTAGCCGAAAACTTTGGCTGCTATTTGGTAGTTGGTCCTTGGCTTCCACTTGGCTGGCTTTGCTTTGCTTTTATCGTGTTTTCTTGTTTTCTTGTTTTCTTGTTTTCGACTAATTTCTCAGTTGCGTGTGTCAGTTCGTGTAGCGCAGTGTAAAAGGTAAAATGTAATCAAAATGAATGTCTGCTCGCGCTGTCTATATGCCCGCGTCCGGTAAACGCTCATTCAATTCCAAAAGCAATTTCGTCCACTTTGTTCTGTTGTGCACAGTTCGCGGCGGCATCAGCCACATTGCGTTTCCCTTCTCTCTTTCTCGCTCGCTCGCTCGTCTGCCCACTCTCTCGCTTTCGCTCTTGCTGCTCTGGCCGCTCCACGCGCCTCATCCGCGCGCAACTTTAATTAAAGCAGCGCGGCTGTCATTTCTTAGCCTCCCGCCTTTTAGCCGCCCGCTGCGCTTACTCCTCGTCTGCGTCTTCGCCGTCGTCTGCGTCTTGCTCGTCGTCCTGGCGCTCTCTGCAACAATTATTCGCTTGGCTTTGTTAACATTGCCCGCAATTCGCTCCGAGATTCGTCTGTCCGCCCGTCCGTTTATGATTCAATTATCCGCTGCACGTTGCCCGGCGCCCCAAAGCCAGCTCAAATCGACGCAGCTGCTGCGGTGCTGTAAAGAGAAGACCGAACCGTGCATTGAATTAGAAACTGAGAGCGGGTGAAAGCAAATATAATCATTAAGTTATTTTGATTAAGAAGAACTTTGGCAAAAGCGCCAAAAGGAATCCAAACAAAAGAACAAGAACGCTAGCAAATGTTTTTTTAATACTACATTTCTGCACGAAGTTCTCTTCGTTCGCATTTTCGTTTGCTCTATTCCATTCCACTACTCCATTTGTCTGTCTGKCTAAATGAATGAATGCACACAGTCAAGTGAGTTATTCAAATTACTCATTGGCTCATCATAACGGTCGTTTGTTGAATGGGACAACTTGTTTGTGCTCTGAATAAGCAACTAGATTGGCTGACAGATAAAATACTGGCGTCATCAATTTCGTTTTGTAATATATATCTATTATTTCGGATAAGCTGATGCACAGTGCATAAACAGTCCATAAATTAAGCGAATTAGGTTGACAACGCAAATACACACACATACACACACACGCACATTCATTGCTGTTGCAACAGTAATGCGCTTACTCGCTGTACATCCTCGCGTTTTCGGCTGCCACATAAATTTCGCTAATAAAGTTAACCATACGCACCGTTGTACAATTGCGATTTTCGCTAGCTCTGTCCCTCTCTCTCTCTCTCTCCCTGTCTCTGTGTTGGCAATTGTTATCTTAAGGCAAACAGACACAGAGAACGCCATAAACTAGCACACATGCAAACAACAACAGCAAATGGAATGAGCAGAGCCAGCGAGAGGGGCGTGCCTGGGTCGGCAGGCGTGGCAGAGACATTGCCATTGCTGTTCTACGTTAATTAGGCGCACGTCGTCCATTAAAAGTGCCACAGGAACTGTGGCAGCGGCAAATAGCGAGTTTCGTATAGCGCCAAGTTTATGCAAATTGAGCTGCAATTAAAGCCATGGCAACGGGAATAGCTAGAGAGCGAGAGAGATAGAAAAAAGAACTTTACATACATATGCATACGTACGTGTGTGAGTGTCTGTCTATAATCTGTGGCACAACTAACGAGTGGCGACAATTAGTGGCAGCCACAACAAACGCAGTTTGATTGTCAGATTTCGCCTCATGCACAAAACAGTCAATAAACTCATAAATTGCACAAAATGACGCGAAGTGCCAGTGACAACAATAATAATAACAACAGCAACAACAGCAACAACAATCAAGTATGGCAAAACAATAACAATAAAACAGCAGCAGCAACAGCAACAACAACAACAACAACGACTACGCTGCAAGGTTGAGTAGCACTTGGCAAACGCGACGCCGCGCTCAACGCAAATATGTAAATAAATGGCCACTTACGGCAATTCAATAGGGGCCAGCGGGCAGAGCGGAAACAGCCATTGACTATGTCTACACATGCCTGCAGGAGTGTGCATGAGTATCTGACTATGTGTGCGTGTGTGTGAGTGTGTGTTATGTGTGTGGGCCACACGAATGCAAACAATATGCCAATTTTATGTTTATTAATGTAATAAAACAAAAGACAACAACGGGTCGCGCACATGTTTGTATTATTAAATAACAACAAGCGAAGAGAGAGAGAGAGAGGGCAGACGTAGACAGATATTAGTTACTCTCTCTCTTTCTTACTTGTGTACTGTTAAGCACTTGGCATTGTAATTGCAGCTGTGACTCCGTATGCGTATGCGTGTCGTATATTTTGTAATACATCAAACACTTGAACGCCACACAGCGTGCACTTGATGCTACGAACAGCGCACACACACACATACACTCACTCACACTTTCACTAACCGTTAGCGTTACTCATACGCATGCATGGCGAGCACACTCAACATTATGTTCTGCTGGCATTCACTCGCATGCGGCAAGTGCACTCGCCCGCCTGCCACGTGTCCAACTCTGACTCGGTCGCCGGGCGAGACTCAGCCTCTCTCTGCGCTCGACTGCGCTTATTCATTTACGCAACACGCCTCAAAACCATTTGCACCGCCCTCCACTTATTACGCAAACAAACAAAGCACACACACACACACACACACACACACACACACACATAGACATATTAATGCCTCGGCTAGCCTGCAAATGAATAGTGAGTAGAGTCAAGTAGAGGAGAGTGGATTGAGAGAGAGCTATGAGTGTGGCTGTATGTGTGTGTGTGTGTGTGTGTGTGTGTGTGTGTGTAAGTACGCGGCAGTTTAAGTTGCTTTAGCTGCGGCAAGTGTTGCAAGCAACTTTCATGAGTACCAGGCAGATGCCTAGAAGTTGGCAATCAAGACAGCAGCTGTAATCCACGATCTGATAAGAACTTACACTACTCACACTCACACTCACACTACTCACAGTCACATTCACATTATTCGCACTGTTTGTGAAGCAATCGCTTGGAATACGCAATCAGCCGGCATTTCATGCCCATTAACTTGCATAATAATCATGCTGGTCAGGTCTCTCTTACCCAATTAGTCGATCATTAGGCTTATTTGATATCTCTACAATAATTACATAGATTGGCAATTGATTGAAAGAGTTTTATAAAATATTTATGGAGTGTGAAATAAATAAAATACATACATATATATAGACTTTGATATCATTACAGTTAAGTAAGAAGAAAATTTAGATTATGAAAAATATCTTCAAGTAAAGCGAAAGAGAGGAATATTTAACAGAGATCCAAGTATAAAACGAAGAGTCAGCATTAAGTTATGCTCCGCAATATATTCTACATCTAATCCAATATATGGTAATTATTTTCATAACTGGGTCCAGCTCTATATCATAATAGAATCTAAATCACATCACATAATTTAGTTTCTATTCAATTTTATATCCTTTAGAATACTGCTGATTGTGACAAACTGGCTAAACGTGGACGTAAGCATGATGCAGCATGACAGTCCACCCACCCGCACACACACACACACACACACAGACGCAGGGGAGACCAAAATCTGAGAACATATTTATAACAATTCCGTTGAAACAGCACAAACATTTCCTCGCTTCCGACATGGCGTTCAATTCCGTTAATGCAACAAACCGTTGAGCGCAGAGCAGCACACAAACACGCACACACACCCACACACTAATACATTTACTTAGATTGCTTTTGTTGTTTGGCGTGAGTTTCTCCGGCGCTGTAATCGTTGCCGACGCCGCCGTGGTCATCGCTGCCGTTGCCATCAGCGTTTGGACCGCGTTTTGTAGCACATTTTATTTCACTGCCTTTCACATGGACACAAACAGACAAACAAAGACAGAAACAGGCAAAAGTTAGCTAAGCCGCTGTGATGGACTAGCAGATGTCCTGCAAGTCATTGAATAGCAAATAAGGATTATCTATATAAATATTTATGTACATAAATAAACTCACTTTGACTAGTTCAGACAAGTACCAGGCATTACTTTTTCTCATTTCACTTTACAGGGTATGAGACAAAAGGAAACTTTCGCTGCGATGCTAGTAAACCAGCAAATTTTATCCGTTGTCGCGTATGTGTGTGTGTGTGTGTGTGATAGTTAGTCTGTGTGCTAGTATCTGTTGTTAATCTTTGGGCATTGTTTTGCTTTAATTTCGAAATTCCTGTCCATTTGGCAGATGGCGAAACTTTTGTTTGTCCATTTGCCATTGGTTTCAGTTTCGGTTTCAGTTTGTGTAGTCCGAAACTATTCAACTATTTCTCGCTGATGAACTGTGGGGCATTCGTTTCGCTCTATTTCTATTTGCGAATGTGATACCCCAGCCCCAGCCCAGCCCCAGCCTCCGATTCCTTCTTTATCTCTGCAAAGCCCATTGAGGCGCATTAAATTAATTGCCGTTTGGTTTTGCCTTCTCACAAACTTTCCGCAATTGTTGTCCGATTTCTTATCTCTGTTGCCGTTAATTTACAATCACCACCGGGCGAAATCCTTGACAACTGTTATACTAATCAAAATTTAAATTTTGTACACAATATTAAAAATATTATATGTGTTCAAAATATTAAATAGTAAAAATCATACACAAAATCTCATGGCAAAAAATATTTTCAGGAAATATAATAAACGGGAAATATAGTTGTTTGCTTTTTCGTGGCCGTAGCAAACATTTTCAATATAATTCAATTTATGGACACGTTCAGTAGGGTATTTATTTTGTTGTTGTTGTTCCATTATGAACGCTTAGAGCGAGCGCACACGCAGAGAGCTGAGCTTAACCCAATTGAAAAGAAAAACCCTCAAAAAAAAAAAAAAAAAAACTGCTGTTCAAAATGTTTTTCATAATTTTTAATTAAACACGAATATAAATAGCAGTCGTGTTCATAAATTAAGCACGAAATTGCAGCGACAACAGGGAACACGAAATGTGCTTTAAGATAAGATAATACCTATAATGGATACATAAACGGCTATTAACCTGCGCTGGCAATGCAAAGTGTATTCCGATAAGCGAAAGGAGGACAACGAGCCTTGAGTGTTATTTGAACTGTGCATTAGATGCCATCGAATAGAGGAGTGTTGTTGCCTGTTGTTGGCTGCGTGTTGGGCAACATTTGCTTCAATCTGCTGCTGGCGCTCTTCAGAAACACTTTCGCTTTACTTATATAATACAATCAAGCACATTACCCACACACAAATCTATAGATGTATTTATATATATGTATGTAGCTATAGCTCAATATCTATTATGTGCAAATGTGTATTCAGCTGCCGGCTGTTTGCTTATCTCGCACGCGCCCATTTTTCGGGCGCTGCCGCTGCCACGCCCACGTGCTCAACCCAGAGCACAAGATTCGAGTCGACGGCGTTCTTGAGAGATTTTTACAAACGACTTGTTTGGCTGCTATGCTTTGGATTATTGCTTATAACAAGCATTTATTTATCATCGATTTGGCATCGTTCTGATGCGAATCGTATTGCCTGAATGGCCATTGGCTATTCCATTTACGCCTGAATGCCTCACTTGCAATTTCACACTGGCAGAGGCTCCTTTCATTTGATGATACACTCAAGGCTCCAGGCG